GGTTAATATATAACTGCAGTAATAACAAAAAAAAGCCCCAGCATTAATACATAATTTGTCAGAGGCAATATGCTAAAACAGCCTTCCCATATTCAACTCAAGTAGTGAGATAAGGCTCACCTCCAGCACTGCCCAGGGGCTGAGCACCAGCTCTGGAATGAGCCCCCAGCAGAAGACATCAGAGAACAGACCCCATTCACTTTACACTATTTGTTCATTTCTCACATTTTTTGTTTTTATCAACATATTTCTAAGAACTGCATTTTGAACATGCATTTCCCTCGAACACTCATGTGCATACTTAGCACTGATTGCTCCAAGTGCTTTCCAGCCGGTTTTCCTTGAGGAACTCCGCGGGTCAGCGTCCCTGCTGGCTGGACAGCTGCCTGAGGGACAGACAGACGGCCCCAAGTACAGTGCCTACCAGAGCTGAACAAGTTCCTAAATGTTTAATGGAACCCTGCAAACTGGCAGAGCACTATTATTAGTTTCTTTCAGCCAGTCTTTCATCGGGGTGCCACAGAACTGCTGCCTGAGTCCCAGCTGAGAGAACTGCTGCTGGATCTAGGAAGGATGGGAAGAAATACTGTCAGATGGTTAAAGGAATCAGGAGATCTGGCTTCTCCTCCCAACTCTGCTTCTGAGTCATTATTAACATAAAATCAGGTTTGTTACATCAGTGAAGCTTGAGTAAATAAACCACGACTCATCACTGTGTTTTATTTTGCAATATCTCAGTGGGCTCCTCTCTACAAATAAACACTATTAATGCTCAGTGCAATTGCAGGACTATGGGGAAGGAGAGATAAAAGCACCTCTATTGGTCTAAAACATTTATGAAGAGCAGCAGGGCAAAATCTCAGCTTTTTGAGGATATTGACTTTTACAGGACAGGAATGTTAAAGAAAAGGCAACCCTTACTTGGGGGGACTAAAAGACAAATAAGTCACGCCTGCAGGTCTGACAGAGCTGATGGGTAAAAGAGATTGGGAAACATCCCAATCCCCTTCTGAGGAGCTAAGGCTGAAATCCTGACTCTGCTGAGGTTTACAGCAAAACTGGGGCTTGTTTAATAGCACCAGGATTTAACCTCCATAAAGTTCAAGTGCAAAGACAGAAGCCTTAGGAAGGAGAAGGCCAACTCTGTCAGCAGGGCTCCAGGAGACTGAGGACACCATGAAGTCAGAATGACTGAAGGTGGCAGAGGAAGCAAGGTCTGAACCCATGAAGGCCTGGACCAGTCCTATCTCTTCCAGCCTCTCCTCCTCCTCCACTCTGAGTTTGAAACTAAATCATTCCACATCTCTCAAGAGCCTTGTAAGTGTTTCCTCCTCGAACTCTGGCATCAGGGCCCTTCTGAGCTCTTTCAACCTGCCCAGATCCCATTGCTGAACTTCCCTCTCCACCACGAGGTTCTCTGAGCATCTGCATCTGTCCAAGGGAGCAGGAGGTGCCAAGGACCTTAGTGGATCAGGCTGCAGTCCCATTCCCAGACCAGATATGGGAAGGACAGCTATAAGGGCTGCCAAGCACATGATCCTCTCTCCCCTCCTTTGACTTCCCCCCATTCAGCTTTCCACAGCCGCCAACCAAACATCTGATCGAAGGCCCGGGGGAGGGAGTCAGAACTGTCCAGTCTGGTTATGAGTGAAGGTCATTGATCCAGCGCAGACCAGGGATGCGGAAAACAGGGGAGGGAGGAAAAAACCCTCAGCGAGAGAGGAGAGAGGGAGCGAGGCAGGCAGAGCCGGCACGGCTCAGGGAGGGAGCGCAGGGAAGGCAGCGGAAGTGGCTGGAACACGGTTTCACACTCCGAGACCCAAGGGCTGTTGTCAACCCGTCCTTCATGCTCACATCTTGTCACACTAGAGGTCAGGTCTCCCAAGCGTTCCTGGAGAGCTGAGCTAGCCCATATGGCAGGCAATATGTTAACAATATGGATCAGCTGCTCGTCAGGGCCTGAGCAGATGGATGTGACAACCCTGCTCTTATCCCAGACAGGCTTTTAACATCTTCCCTCTCCTCAACCCAGCCCTGCTGGAAGAGCCCTGCCCGGGAACTCTTGCCTCCAGCCAACATGGACCGTGGGGCCACAGGTCAGGACAGGCAGCGTGGAAATGCCTGCCTGGCTTTATCTGGATGGAAGGAGCAGGGCAGAGCCCCACTCAGACCAGTGCAGGCAGGAACCAGGCCAGGCGTTTATCCCGGGCGAACGGAAGGGCCTCTCTACACTGCGGATCTGTGCTGGTAACTCCCCAGCAGGGTGATACAGGAGATACTGTATTCAGATATATGTATATGGCGTGTTACCACCAGATGCCACACGTTACAGTCTAGACTGAGTTTTGTAACTGCCTGGGAAAATTTTCTCTCACAGAACAAGTAATACATAAATAGATGTATATTTTAATGGGCAAGTTAAACTCCTCCTGGCAAAGGCAGGCAAGCTGATTTCATACACAGGCGGGTAAATTTCCACAAGGATTTTGCAAGGCTGTTTCATATTCCCCAGCTCGGGCTGGCTGGGCTGGCCCGGCTGCACTTCTCTGGAAGGCAACGTTCCCACCTCGCTCCCTTCACAGCTGTGCCATGCAGTGAACCCAAGGACCCCAGCAAAAATAACTCCACCAGCCCAAGCTAACCCCCAAATTTAGCTTTTCTTCAGCATTGAAATAGGGAGAAATATTTTGCACATTTAAACACAGACAAAGCAAATATTTCTAATCCCTTTCTCACCTTTTTTTTTAGCTTTTTCCCCTGCATAAAAGGCTTCCCTTCACCAACCGAACAAGAAAGCTCCCTCCAACCCTTATAGCTCCAGGACTAAACAGCCAGCTTGTGCTTATAAACAGAGTGAAACAGCAATCACAGCCTAGGGATGGGCTCTGGAGAACGTGCAAACAGCCTCTGTAGCCCAAAGTAAATTGAGCTTGTTTTGAAAGTAGAAGCCATACAACTTGCTGCAGGGCTGAAGACTGGAACACAGGGATTTCTAGTCCAGAGCATGAGCGATCACAAAGCCACATGCCTGAAAGGCTAAATGCATCTCCTTCACTGGAGTGATGTTTGTAGAACTAGGGGGACCTCAGAACACAGCTGGAGTCCAGGGAAATATTTCTATTGTCTCTAATGAGCTTCTGTCCCTCAGGAAACAGCCCCTGAAGGACCCTCAGCAATGCACCCGGTACTGGGAGGAGAAGGCAAACACAGAAAAGGATAATTGATCTGCAAGAATCTGAACCTTAAGGTTCACTTCAGAACTCAAAGAATTCCTGATTTATCAGTCTCCTCCTCTTACCTTCTTGTCTCGGGGGTTCTGCTCATCCCAGGTCTGGGTCAGATGGACATGCAGGGCTTTCAATACCAGGAGCTACACCAGCAGAAACCTGTGACAGGGGTCACAGGAAAAGTTCCCTCTGATGGAAAAATTGACCCAGAACCTATGAGGCAGCTTCCCCAGCAGAGTTTTTCCCCCTGGATGTTGGCCCTCTCTGGAGAGGCACATAAGGATATTTGGTGGAAAATTCACCTGCTGCAGTCAAACTTGAGCATTTGTATCTTATTTGGTAAAACCTCAAGGCTCTTCATGTTCGTTTACCCTATTCCCTTGGGCAGAGCTCCAATTTGGGAAGCTCTCTTGCCTCTGGAGGCCTGGGAAGGCACGTGCCACTGCTCTAAAAGGGGACACGGGCAACAGAACAGCTCACACAGGGATAAAGGCCAGAGTTCCCTACATTAACAGTTCAAAACCAGGCTTTCCAAATAAAGCATGCCAGACCCTGGAGGAGTTTCAGCACTAGGAAGGTGTGGGAAGGCAGAGTTCACCCCTATCCCATCCTGAAGCACACTGCATTTACTGGCAGGTTTACTGAAAGCACTCAGGTCTGTAGGCTCTGAACACGTGGCAAGAACTAAGCCCTGCTGAGCCTTAGAGGATCACGGCTGTTGCTCCTTAAGGGAGGGCACTCAGAACACAAATAAATTCCCCCGTGCCACACACAGCCAGGGATGGCCTGGGAGAGCTGGAGCCCCAGACCAACTTCTTAGCCCTGTGACTTTTCTCATCTCCCCTCTTGCTAAGCCAATATAGTCCCTCCACTGGATCCTTCCAGCTCAGGTCTCAGCTGTACCTGTGACTCACAACAGCTCTGGATACACCGCTTTGCCCAGGTACCAGTTATGGCACAGCAGCAAAAAACAGAGGAACAGGGTGATACACAATCCCCTCAGGCACTTCAGTTGCTAATCTTCATTCAGGCATCATCGGCATTAAATGGTGCCAGCAGAGTATGGAAACACCCCCTGACAAAACCTCTACCCTACAGAGCAGATGTAATGTCACCCAAAGCCCAGACACAGCGAGGAGCCTCAGCACCTTCCGCCTGCAGCAGCACAGCAGGGCCACCAGGTACCTCCCAAATCCCCAATCCATTGAGAAGAAATATATTATCCCACTGTTGTGTCATACCTTTATTTGCAGAGAAGCTGTGACGGCAGCCAAGCAGTGAAGAAAGTAAAACAGCTTTTAGAAACACAGAGTCCCACCCCCTCAACCTCTCGGAGTTACCCACCGTGACCACAGACATCCTCAAACTCTTCATTTGTGAAACAAGTCAATCAGAAACTGTCCCCACACAATACTTACCCAGGGGACTCCCATGCAAACTACTTAGCTAATTGTTAATACTGCGCAGCAGCTCATTAGGAAGAAGGAGGCGAAGAGAGGGAGCTGCTCAGACCAGGGCTCTGCTGTGTCAGCTGGGTGTCTGTGCAGAGATGGGCAGCGAGGGCAGGGGTAAACCCAGTCCTATTTGTAAGCCAGCTCAAGACAAACCAACACCCCACCATGCATTTACCACCCAAAACACTGACTTTCAGCGGCTCTTCCATCTTCACAGGCTAGAGATTTCCCAGGAACTGGAATGAAGGCTCTGGAGAGCCAAAATCACTCACTCCAGTCCTACTTCAGAGCAGTTTGATCACAGAACAAAAGCCAGTACCTTGCACTGAGAAGTCACAGGCTTCAAGGTCCATTCCAGTGTACAAAGCAAGGAGAGAAGTCAGGTTCTTTGTTTTGGAGGTGGTCTCAGATGAAGACAGTGTGAATTTGATGGCCTCCCTTCACTTGGTGAAGTCTCTTTGCCCTGAGGAGAGTTCCAAAAGGAAATGAATATTCCCTACCGAGCAGTCCCGGAGCCCAGGTGAATCACGAGCACAGGCAGTGACGCCGGGCTGAGATGCCACAGCCACCCACAGCCCTCAGCCCTCGGTCACACACCCCGGGCCAGCAGGGCCCGGCACTGCCCGGCCCGACGGACACGGCGCGGCCCCATGTCCTGCTCTGCCGCGCGTGGCACTCGCGGCTCCAGCGCCAAGGTACAAACCACCCCGGGGACCATCCAGTGGGCCACGCACTCCCAACTTTCCCCAGAAAAAAATCCAGGTCAATCAGAGGCAGAAGCAGCCTACAGTACTAAGCCACTTACAGCAAAGAGCTTCCCCCCATAGGCAGCTGAGCGCTCCTGCCCACGTGAGCCCAGGCTGCCATCCCTGCTTTGGGGGATCTGACAGCACAGAGCTCCACCGGCAGCCTGGGACACCCCCACACCAAACCCCACTCCCCTGCCCCAAAGGCGGTACACACGCAACCAGACGAGACAAAGAAGAATTATTATTTCCAGTTTAGTGAGGCCCACGGTAATTAAGTGACTTGTCAAAGGTCACTTGGCAAATCTGAGGCAGAATTGGGAATTACAACTAAATCTCTCAAACTTTGGCCCAAGAGCTGGACAGCAAAAGTCCTGTGCTCCTTGGATGCACACTGCTACCTCTGCAACAGGTTTCACGCTTCTCCCCGCTCTCCCTAGCAGTTAAGACAATTCCCTTCCATTTCCTGCATTGGAGGAAATGAATAAATGCACAGATTTAAATAACAAGAACTTTTACCTTACTTACAAAATTTAAAAACGTCCTAGCTCCAACCTTTGAGAGAAGCTCAGAAGCTTCAGACTCTTCTGTGAGGTAGGATTTGTAGACTGGAGGGTTTTGGTGGTGGTGGTTTTTTTTAATTTCCATCAGACAAAAATAAAAGAAGCGAAACAAAAGAGGGTTGTTGAGATCAATTTGTGATAGGTGCCGGGCCAAAGAAAATGGAGCCAAAGAAGTCAGAACCCTGCAACCAGCAACCTTTGTGTCAATTTAAGCAAATATTGTGGCGTTTCCATGGCAATCCCTGTTTTGAATATCCACTACACTCACTTTTTAAAGGGCTTTTCCTGTTTGCGTTTCAACTTCAAAACCTGTAAATATTTTCAGCCTTAACACATCCCGACCTCCCCCAGCCTCCGAAATGAGATACTATCAATGCTCTGACATGCAGTCTGCTGTCTGCAGTACCCCAAAGTGTGAGAATTCACGGCAAAGGCAGGGTGGCAGCGGGACACTGCAGGGACAGCAGGGGCACGGCCGGCCCTCTGTCCCGCCCTCCGCTCCAGCCTCGGCAGCTGCAGGTACAGGAGCCCACTCCATTCTTTTCCCAAACTGGTGAGTGGAACGAGCCGTGGCAAACCCTCAGCACCGACAGCATCGGCCCAAGGCGAGCAGCAGGTGTTTTACAAGGCTCCCTCCATCCCGCCCTGCCAGCTCAGGCCACCTCTGACCCATCACTCCAGCCACAATTCCCGCTGGAAGCCTCTTCCTGTGACCTGCTCCCACAGCCCAGCGCTGCCCCCCGCCCTGACCTGCGCTCCCCTCCCTTCCCCTCTCACCTGAGCTGAACCACGGCCGTCACTCACACTGATTTATGGGATGCTGCGTCATGTGCGAGTGGGAATGAAGAGTCAACTTTGTCCTCACTTGCAACCTGGGTTAGGTGTAAATTCCCAAGCTTCCTCAGCAGCAGCCTGCAGGTCCCTGCTGCATCACCAACACAGAGCCCAGGGGAAAGTCCTGGTGAGGGAACCCTGGCCAGGTGCTGGTATCACCTGTCAGATCTGAGCACCGGGAGCCTGCAGTTAACCCTCTCCCTGAAGCACAAAGCATCTAGTGCTGCATTTGTGCACGCAAGGGTGTGCATGAAAACACCTTCTGCTGCACTTCAGAGACACACTGAGCACTTTCACCCCCAAGTCCCCAAGTCCTAAAGCTTCACCCTGCACTGTCAGAGTGCAGCCCCTCCCGGCAGTCATGGGAGTGCACTGGTTAATTCTGAGTTTCCTGGCTGTGATGGATTTGTGCCAGGCCTCAAATGTTAGCTTAGTGTAATTTTTGGGAAGTCAATTTCCTTTGTTTTGTTTTGGTTTTTTTTTCCCCTCATTTTTTTTTGTTTAGGCTTTTTTCCTCTTTTCTTTTAAATGGAAAAGTAGGGAGCATTTGAACGAACGTCAGGACAGGGCCATCCATCCACGGGCTGTAGTTTCCCAAGAGCATTGTACAGGCACCATGGTACGTGCACAGAACAGCCATGGAAACAAACACCAAGTGACTTCAAAAGCCGTTATGCCGAGTGCCCACAGAGGCACCTCCCGGGAGCGGTGCCATCCTCGCACCAACGTCACTCCTCGGCCCTGACCACCCCTCCCACAGCACTGGGTGCTTCTGGTACCACCAGCAGATGATGCGTGATACCTGCTGTCCTGGCCAGCTTCCAGCTCAGGTAATTACATCCTACAGGAGTTTCAGCTGGATATTTTATCCCTTCTTCACTTCCGGCCTGGAGCTGCTTCACTGGGAGTTGCTAAAACTCTATCCAGATCCACCCCGGATGTGAGTGTGTGCCAGGGGCTGGAGGGAATTCTGTGCATCCCTGCAGGTCCCAAAAGCCTGTTGTTCCAGCAAACAACCTCTAGAAACACGGGACAACACATCTTCTTAAGTACATCCCGTAACACCCCCACCCAAGAACGAGGTGAAGAGCTGAAAAAACAACCGGCCTGACACACCGGGAACCAACAACTTCTGGAGGCACGTGCTTAACGTCGCCCCGTGGAGCCATCTTTTGGGACATGGACACTGGCTCCTCTGCTTCCCTGAAGTGGGAACTCTCCTCCCACCATGCCACAGGCTCGGTGAAATTAAAACTTGTGGTGGCAGCGGTGTGAGGCTGAAGCCACAGCCGCCGGTCTGCCTCTGCCAGCGGCGCCACACGCCGCAGGGGAGACGAGTGGCGTTCCTGGACAGGAAAAGGTGGGCCAGGTTTAGAGCACCCATGAAAACAGGCAGGGTTCACAACAGGCCAGATCAACAGGTGAGGGGCTTCACTCTGTCTCGACCCCTCTCATCATGCTGCCACTAGAAAGCCAAGAGCAGGAAACACTGGCAGGGTGACACTGGATGCTCTCACCAAACCCTGCCAACAAGCTCTCCACAGTGCAGGCAGAGATGCCTCCTGAGGAGGCTGTGCTTTGGTATTCCCACGGCCACAAGAATTCAGAGCCCTTCCAAGCTGTCCAGGACATTTGGAAATGACCTGCTGACCCACTCAGGACAACCCAGGAGCCCCCAGGCTTATAAGTGGACTCTATCAAACCCACTTTTCTTGCCCTCTTTGTCTTCATCTTTCAGAAGATTCTGGACCAGACTCTCACCTGGTGTAAAATCAGTGCAGTTTCGGTGGCTTCAGTGAAGTCATGCCAATTTAAACGAGTCGAGGATCCGGCCCTCCAAGTTACTGGAGTTGCCAGTTCTTCCTTTGGATAATCCCGAGGGTGATTTCACAGCAAGCAGCGGCACAGGCCCAGCCAGCCTGGCAGGATCAGCTGCGCCCTCCCACCCCCTGCCAGTCAGGCGGTCCTGGCAGAGTCCCTGCTGGGAGACCCTCTGCAGCAACTGGGCCCACTGCACTGAGCTTCCTTCTCTCTGTCCTCTAGTGACAGAGCCAGCACAGAGTAAATCACGCCAGGCTTTGGATCAAGGCTTTCTAATTGCTCTTCTCAGCAGAGCTCTTGCCTTCCAGGGCACTGTGTCATGTATTTGGAGGGGGTGCTGGTCACTTGAACCCCAACCAGGTTTGGTTGACTGTGAAAACAGCACATCTTAATGAAGAAACCAGAGCTGGTTTTCCTCTCCCTCCACTCCCACCAGTCTCTAGTCCAAGGAAGGTAAAGAGCCTGTTGCTGCCTGGCTGCTGTTGAGTGAGCGGCTACAAATCCCTTCCTCGTCCCCAGTCCCACTGTCATCCTGCCATCTATCCACACCACGTCCCGAGGTGAGGGAAGCAGCGATACAGGCACAGGGAACGTGGCACGGCTTCAGCAGGCACTGGGTGCGCAAGAACTTTCCATGCTCTGCCCTCACAAGTCCTTTGCTATCCCCCCAGAGCAATTTTCTAGGCAACAGCGCGGTTGCATTCCCTTCCCTATCTCCTAATAAATATCATGCTAAGCAAGATGAGTATCTTCTTCCCAGACCAAGCAGCATGACCCACTTTCTGAATCAGGGCAGATGCAATTGGGCCCTGGAGTCCTGGACCCCTCCCAAAGCAGAGAGATTTTGTAACAATTACAGCAAGAAGCAGAAGGAATAGAAAAGTAATAAGTGATCAAAGAGTGCAGTGGGGGAGCTGAAGCTGTGGGGTAATTACTACTCCTGCCATCCTACGCTCTGGCATTTTCCTGGGACACTGAGGCAAGAGCCGCGTGCACATTCACACAACATCTCTCCTCCACTGCCCTACATTCCTCAAAAGTAACAGGTCCAATTTCAAATTCTGGCTAATGGCTCAGATGAGACAACTGCTGCCCTCCCTGCACACCCACCTTGATTTTTGCCCTTCTCTTTTTCCCTTTCTCTTTTCTCTCCCCATGGCAGAGTAGGACCACAGGATTCATATTCCAGCAGTGCCAGTCCCCCTCCGTCAGACACACACGTACACACGTCCTGCCCTGCCCCTCTGACAGCCTTGACGACTCTGGGCCAAACCCTGCCTGGCTCACCAGCCACACCACAGCGAGGAGGTGGCTGGATCCTGATCCCAGCAGCACTACTCTCTTTGGATATGCTCCATTTTTCCAAGGAACAGCTCTGTACTTTCCCAGATGTAGCTGGGATCAGATTATGACCCAATGGGCATGGAAAGCAATTAAAAGGAGGTGGGGTGAATGCCAGTAGTGCTTTCATTGCTTGAACCCACAAAGAAAACTTCCCT